GCTTAAAGGTAAAGGGACCCCTGACCATTAGGTCCAGTCGTGGCCGACTGGGGTTGCGGTGCTCATCTCGCTCTATAGGCCAAGGGAGCCGGCGTACAGCTTCCGGGTCATGTGGCCAGCATAACTAAGCCGCTTCTGGCGATCCAGAGCAGCGCACGGAAATGCCGTTTACCTTCCCGCTGGAGCGGTACCTATTTATCGACTTGCACTTTGGCGTGCTTTCAAACTGCTAGGTTGGCAGGAACAGGGACCAAGCAATGGGAGCTCACCCTGTCGCGGGGATTCGAACCGCCGACCTTCTGATCGTCAAGTCCTAGGCTCTGTGGTTTAACCCACAATACCACCCACGTCCCAGTAGGGCTTAAATTTGAGTAAATATGCATTGGATCACACTGAGTTCTTTGGTCCCCTTGATATCAATGGAATTTTAATCATGCTTTACTGTCAATAATGCCTGACCCAGTAGCAGCTGGGAGGGTGAGTAGGACTGTGTTGCTCTCCCATCTTCTCAACAACTTGTGTCACTGCTGGTACGGTACTAACAGGGAGAAGGTGAGAGGTAAGGCAGCAAGGAGTTTAGCATTGTATGGGCACAGTGTCACATAGGCACCACTGCTGCACCCGCATCACACTGAGCTCTGTGCTGCCTTGCCGCTCCTTCTTGATACTAGCAGAGATGAGAGAACAACAGAGACCCACCCATCTCATCCCACTGGCCAGTCCAGTTTATGTTTACAGAGAAAACATCCCTATGCATATTCTTTGCTGGATAGGAATTTTATATATATGCATGATGCCTGTATCTAGAATTCCTTTTCCTTATCAAGCTGCTGAGTCTCTGCATGTATAGCCTGATAAACAGAGTTGAAATCCTGTCTATAGATATTCAAACAATTAGAAGTGGGTGTAGTGTCCCAGTTTTCTTGCTTCCGCTAAACAGCCAAGTGGCATAATCTCTTGGGTCACAGCCATTATCTGTAAGAAATTTAAACAACTGATGTCAAGGGTATTTAAGTATTATGCATGCATGTTACAAATTAGGAAAGAACAAATGGCCATAGGAATGATGTAAAATTGGTTGGGGAAACCACGTCCATGAGCCTCTTTGCAAGTGAGACCAGGCCTCCTGAGGCATGAGGATAATGCATCCTTAGAGCCCTGGAAAATAGCATTGGGTCTCGTCAAGGATCAGAGTGAAGAGCTTGCCTTCCTCTTCAGCCCAGTGCCATTGCAAAGACATGCATGACCTCAGGATGAATGCAGCAAGCTACAGTCATCTCCTAAACTGAAGGCTCTTCAAGGCTGTATGTGCAGGGGATGAGCAACTTAACTTTCTGCTTTGACCTAAAACACATTGCTGCAGTTTTGCTGGTTTGAAAGAAAGCCTAAACACTGAGCCCCAGAAGCCAAGAGCTGAACTTGTGGGCTGCTTTTTTTGCTGCTAGATACTTAATCTGGCAACAAATGTGCAGTCATTACTCAGTAGTAATTTTGGAGGGATTGGTAGACAGCAGCGGGATAGTTATACTAAGATTGGTGTTGACAAATAGATGATGGAATACTAGCGGATTACTGTTGTAGTTAAATGTGCATAAATTTGTATCCAAATAAAATGAGTTGTAAGGATTTTTTGTGTGAGAGGAGTTAGAGGTGCCTTTTAAAATGTCACCCACCATCCATGGTTTTTGTAAATACATGTATTAAACATTCTCAAATCTACTGCCCAGAATAATTGGAAATAACTTTACATACATATAGCTTATCAGTCAGAAAAGGCAGAGGTGTTATGTGGCTTCTTGCTTGGGAGGTGGGGAGGCCACCTGCCCCGGATGAGATTGCACTCCCCTGGAAGCAGCAGGTCCACACTTTGTGGGTGCTCCTAGATTCAACACTATCACTGGAGGCTCAGATGGCCTTGGTGGCCAAGAGTTCCTTTCTTCAGCTACAGCTATTTCATCAGCTACTGTTTGACAGAGATGACATAGCCATTGTATTCCATTGTCTGGTTTGGATTATTGTAATGTGCTCTACATGGGGCTGCCTTTGAAAACGACTTGGAAACTTCAATTGGTCCAAAATGCAATGGCCAGATTACTGGCTTGGGTTCCCTTCAGATGTCCCGTTTTGAAATAGCTGCACTGCTTGCCAGTTCGTTCCTGGGCCCAATTCAAGGTGCTTCTGTCAGAGTTTAAAGCCCTAAACAACTGAGGCCCCAAATACCTGAAAGATGATCTGCTTCCCTACAGGCCCTCCCAGGGGCTGAGATTGGCAGAGGGAGCCCTCTTGGTTGTTCCACCGCCATCAGAATCTTTGTGGGCGGTGGCCTGGGGGATGGTGTTTTCTGTGGCAGCCCCTAAGTTGTGGAAGTGTCTTTCTACAGAGATGCATCCAGGGCCTTCATTATGCACCTTTCAGGAAATGCTGAAGATGCATCTTTTTACCCTGGCTTTGGACACTTGAGATGTATGTTCTGTAATGTAAAGTTGTTTTAAACTCTTTTTTATATTGTGTTCTAATTATACAGTGATTTGTGGCAGTATATATTATTATTTTGTGTATTACTCTGCAAAAGCAATTGGCACAGCCAAAGCGATCGCTTCAGTTTCCTCTCCTTCACCCATGTGCCCCCAGAACTTCTTCAGAGAGTCCCCAGTCCTCTGGAGCTGATTTTGAGGGGGCTGCAGATGAAAGGAGAGAAGGGGGACATTCCATTCCACTAGTACAGTGGAACCTCGGGTTGCGGACATAATCCGTGATGGAGGCGCGTCCGCAACCCGCAGCGTTCGCATCCTGAAGCGCTGCACGTGCGCGCGAGTGGCAAAACCCAGAAGTAATCTGTTCTGGCACTTCCGGGTTTCCCTCAGTCCACAACCCGAAAACATGTAACCTGAAGCGTCCGTAACATGAGGTATGACTGTACAAGTCTCTTGTGTTAGCAGAATTGGAGCTTTGGATACCATCCAGTTAAATTATATAGCAATATTTCTAAACATGTAATATTTCTAAATGCAATCTGATTATCAAAAGCTGCAGTTGATATGAGTTTAAGAACTCTCAAGAAATTTTAAACAGCTCTGAAAGGCACAAAAACTGCTTAGTTATGCGTAGCAAATCTTGACAACTAAAAGTTTTAAATATGATTCAAACACCTACATGAGCTCTCCGCCAGACCCCATCAGCAATATTGAAATGTAATGAGGTAAAAATTAAAAATGCAGATCACAAGTTCAAAGGCAAGTATATATACCATATTCAAGAGACTTAAAAAAAAAAAATAACTGCCCACATTTGTAGTTTATTACACATAAATTTAGGGTAACTTGCCACAATGCATTGATTTCGTAATCGCTTTAAAGAGCTTTATCCATGATTGTAAAAGGAGGAATTCAATAGACAGTATAAATTTGTCTTATTTTGTTTCTTAACTTGAAAAGCAAGTGGCAGTTGGGAGGGGCACTTTGTGGAAAATTAATAATTCTGACCTGCTTTGTAGGTTTCTTGTAAGCTTTACTGAAATAATATATGAACAGTTCTTCAAGTACTCAGAAAGGCTGAGATGAATGACTATTGCCTTCTGGTTTCTTGCCTCAGGCTCTTTATTGCCAGTTCACTCATTCATCATAAGGAAGATTTTTGGCTTTCATTTCTTTCTCCCTGCCTTCTCTTCTAGACTAACCCGATTGCCCATACCTTTTCAGAGAATATTAATGTGCAGATTTCATTGAGGGCCTATATCCCTAAACCTTTGCAGTCTTTCCCAGGGCTTGGTAACTTTTAATATTTTTATTACTGATTGTTTGTCTCTGAAAGCAGACAGCTTTTACTCGAAATCAATTATATTTACTCGAAATATAATGTTTTACAGACGTATATCAAATGCTTTACATACATTATTTCTCTGAAATGACTGTGATTCTGTACATCTTGGCACCCACCTGGCTTCTTTGGGTATATTATAATTTCCCACAGATTTTTACATTTAATAGTCAAAAGCACAGCATATGCATTCTACTGAATTCTGACACTAAGGCTAGCATACCAGTATAGAACTCGCAAAACAAACATACACTTCTATCTTACTAAAAGTTATCATCTCTAAAACATGTGAATTAGAATAAGAATAGAGTATCTTACTTAGTTACTGTTACTTCTTTGTCAATGCAGTCTTCCGTGGTTAATATTTCACTGATTCATTAGAACAAGCATTAGCTGAAGACAAGACTTTGAAGAAAGAGCAAATGTTAGTTTTGTTAATGTAGCAGAGTATTGCATTTCAACTTTGGGAAAGGATAGTTGATTGATGCAGCTTGGCAGGAGGGTAAGGCCCCACATGCTGCTGAAGCAGGGTGAAAAAACTGTAGATTATAATATACCTCAGGATGGGTGTTTTAATATGTTTACATTTTTTCTGCTTTATTTGAGATGCTGATAACACTAGGTAAAATTCCACATTTGTTATTAACCTGGCTTGTATCACATTTAATATCGAAATACCACATTGGGTATTTTCTATGGAAACTCTGACATGCATGCTGTTCAACAGATAATACAATAAAAGTGTGAAACTATAGCAACTTGGGTTTCTCCCCCCCTCCCCGAATATAGTTCACATCATAAACTCCGGTCCTCCTTATGATTGCAGTTATTATGAATGCAGTTATTAACTAATGTGGACCCCCCCCTTACATTAATTTTTCCCACTATATACTGTATAAACAATTGCATAAGAAATTGGAATGGTACAGATATAATGTGTGTAACATATTTTTTTCTGTTTCTATAGAGAGCACAGTACATATCATATGTATAAGTTATCTATTCAAATAATTTCTGTGTGGTCATTAGAGGATTTGACCGATATCCACGTATGGGTTTGATAAACTGACACAACAGCGAAAAAAGAACTCCTGTCCCATGTCAGCTTATCAAACACACTATGGATGTTCTGTCTTTCATCCGACATCAAAATAACATCCACAGAGTAAATAGGAAGCTTGTGTTCAGTGAAACTCAACCTCAGTACTTCCAGGTGAATATATACAGCACCTGATAAGGCTGAGGTATTGTACCACTAAACAAAGAGTACCTTGAGCAACCAATGAGTACCAGGTATGACAAAATGAAAATGGGTGTAGAATCCGAAAGAGGTTGCTTGCCTCAGTTTAGTGTTAAGCCAAATATTTATGTAATATTTTAGAAAGCCAAAACCTAGTGTCCTGTTACAGACAAGCAATGTTGAGTTTTGAGCTAAAATTATTTAACCCGTAAAACAAATCAATAAAGAATGTGTTATGTTCTTACATCTGGTTTTAGCACCAGTTATTTCTTCTTGCTGCTGACATTACTCCCTGTTCTTTGTCATCCTTTCTGAGTCTATTTAGAAAAGTTATGTTCCTCTTGTGACTGGTGGAAATGTTTTATCATCCAAACATATCACGAAACCTCCATTTAGAATTATGCATCTGCATCATTTGCACAGCTATCAAATCAACATTTAGAATAAGTCCTGCAGTAAAAGTAAATCAACATTATTCTCTCTGAGCACAAAAAAGTATTAAAATGTTCACTCTCGCTTTAATTTTTTTGTTGAAGCGTTTAAACAAGAAACAGATACTTTTTAAAATTACCAGGCAGAATACACATTAACACAGTAAAGCTGAAACTTAGTTGACTTTTACATTTCTCCGCATTTAGCCTGAAAAGATATAGTTGCCATACTTTACCTTTTCCCCCTCCCTATTGTGCTCCAGATATACGTGTAAGAGACAACTGCAGTGGGAAACGGTCTTCTGCTTATTTGTGGTAAATTACTGTGCACAGAGCTTTTTGGAACAAGGCACTACTTTTAAATGTCTGGTCACCTCACGGGATATGTAGTGCATTTCCTGCCACTAGGATAAGAGGAAGGAAGCACAAGGCCAAAACGTTTGATGTGTGGTCTACTGTAATTCCTTTCATGTGTTCAGTGGCTTTTGTAGGATCCATGTACTACAATCAATTCTGACCATGCTGTGGTCCATTTCATTAAAGCTGACCTTCCTAAATGGAAAACAAATTCACATTATAGTGGCATTCACCTGCCATCATTACAGGGGAAAGAGTTATCATATTTTGCCCTCAAGCTGATTCTTTTATAAGTTTTATGAGAAGATTTCCTTTGGCTTATAAAGTTCATTTGAGTGTGGAGATAAAAATGCAAAGAAGAGGCTCAAAATTATTTTTCAAAGATTAATATATTAATATCCTAAGTAAACTGAGAGTGAGAGGCCTCTTAGACTAGTACAGCTGCCATGTGCAACCCTTTTGGAACTCTCTGTGTTTTGATTGCTGCCAGCTTCCATTCATTTAATGTAAATCAACCAGCCATGAAGATCAGTTCCCATCACAAGAATTTAGATCAATCTATTTTTGCTCCATGTCAATTTCACATAGTGTGCTTATTCATAATGCCCTTTCTGTCACATTTCTGCATTAATCTGTGGGGTGGGGTGGTTTTTGTTTTTTAAAAGAATCTATGAAAAGTATTTTAAATAATACTTAAATATTTATTTGATTATTTTGTCACAAAATGTACCTTTACCTTCCCCCCCTCAACATACACATTTCTAAATGGATGTTCATACGCATTTTGGTACAATTTTTGAGCTGAGCACTATATTGCAAAATTCAGGGAAGCGCAAAATGTAAAAGATAATTACGTCCTAATTCATGCATTAATCTGGGAGGTGCAAATTTAGGTCAGTTAAAAATATGGATCAGATAAAATTCTCCACCCCTAATTGGATGCTGCATGGACACAAACTGTGTAGTGTGGGCTAGTCTATACGTTGAATAGATACACATAATATTGACTTGTGGCACGAGGCAGCTGCTGTGTAGACTCAGATGAATGAGACCTCCATGCCAAAACTGTATCATGAGAGGTGGCTTGGAATATGGCTTTATACCAACAATAACAATTGTGTACCATTTCCACTTCTGTGTAAAATGCTGATGCAAATTCAGTTGGTGGCTCATTTGCCTCTCCCTGTTTAGGGAAGCTTTTCATATTTGATGAATCATCGTATTTCAATATTCTGCTGGAAGCCGCCCAGAGTGGCTGGGGAAACCCATCCAGATGGGCAGGGTATAAATGATAAATTATTATTATTTGCCAGACAAGATGCAACCTAGGCCATCTATGAATAAGACGTTTCATTTTTCAATAGTGTTAACAAGTAGCAGGAGGTGCGCCTAATTTGTATCAATACTGTAACACTAGGATAGGATCTTAAAGATGTCGTCGTCATCCCCTCACCATTTTCCTGATTAAAATTACTTCACCACCATAACTCACACACCCTAATTTTTTCCATGGAAGAAATTCAAATATCAAAGTGGTACCTCTATCTGTTGTTTCCCTGACTGAGAAAATAGCAAGTGGTAGAGGGGGAAATGGGTGACAAACCCTCCCCAGTGCCATGGACCTTATTCAAAGGGGCTGCTAATGCAACTTTAAAATGACTACTAATGTACGGTATTTAAAAGGAATTGGGGGGGGGGAGTCTAATTACTATTAATAGTACTTCTACCTCATGTCCAGTTCTGACCAAAGTATAGCACTGACACTCTTTGATGGTTGAATGAAATTTTCTTTCATTTACAATTTTACAAATGGAAACTGAGAACAAAAGTTGATGTCTCAGCTTGTTCCTTGATTATTATCTTTTTTAAAGTAATTATTAACATTTAGACCTATACACAGGGCAAAGCAAGTCTACAATTTTGACAACTGCACCAAAATAAATTATTTTGCTAAAGCAACAGTTGTTGATTAACTTAACCAGTGGTGGTCTTCCACTAAATTTCACTTGTTTTTGGTGGAAGATGGCAGAGTGCTCCATGTGTACTTCTCAAGAGGATGGGGAATGTTGTCATGTATAGAATAAGCATATGACATTTTTGTTGAAAAGTAATTGGTTTTAGTGAACATTATAAAAATGTATAATTCTTCAGTCTGCTCCCCCCCCCCAAACAGCCAGAATACAAAAGGCAGTTTGTGCAGTTAACACTTTTAAAGGGCTTGCCGATCAGAAGGTCGGCGGTTCAAATCCCCACGACGGGGTCAGCTCCAGTTGCTCGGTCCCTGCTCCTGCCAAGCTAGCAGTTCGAAAGCACGTCAAAGTGCAAGTAGGGTCATGCAAGTAGCGTTTCCATGCACTGCTCTGGTTCGCCAGAAGCGGCATAGTCATGCTGGCCACATGACCCGGAAGCTGTATGCTGGCTCCCTCGGCCAGTAAAGCAAGATGAGCGCCGCAACCCCAGAGTCGGACACGACTGGACCTAATGGTCAGGGGTCCCTTTACCTTATTGCCATAGACACCTTCTCAAGCTTCTGAATTGCTCTTCAAATTGCCCTGAGTTCATTTTGGTTCTTGGGCACAAGCAAGAACATTTCAAATACAGGATGGGAAACACAGCACATGGAAGCTAGCATTTGTCCTCTTTTTGAAAAGTGCTTGCACCAGATTATTTTTTGCTTTTTGAATTTGAGGGCAGTAATCCATTGGGGAGAGGAAAATCACATGACCCTAAAGAATGTGCGTACACGGTCTCTGGAGCCTGGTTAAGGGCAGGTTACAGTGCATCCATATTCCATGTTTTAGCTTTACAACCCTGTGTAAAGTATGCTGACTGAGGCAGGTGGGAGTGTGGCTTTCCCAGTCACCCAGGAAACCAAAGCTTCCGAACAATAACCTTCAGAGCCAGACATTCCCAATATATAATATGAATATTCCCCTAGCTTTGGACTGAAGAGAAATGTGTGAAAGTAAGGCTTCCTTTAATAAATACGATTAAGCCATACATCACTATTATTTATATCCTTTTTCAAAACTTCTATTTTTTATTTTTGGTTTCTGCAGTCTTTTATAAGTCTCAACTGACCTGTAAGGGAATACATTTGACTTTCTTACAATGAACCTCTGAATTATGCCTATTCAGCAGTGAGTAATAACTGATTCAACATGAGCTGTGTCTTATATAAACATACAAAATGCCTGACCCAGACTAAATCAATTTAAAAAGGAAAACATCAAAGTTATGTTTCCTGTTACATGCTTAAGGTCTTCTTTGGGTGTATTACATTAGTATATTATTTACCAACTATAGTAGGCTTTTAGTTTATTCTCTGATGCCACCTGCAAAGAGAACAGTAGAGAACGTATTGGATACAATAAATTGTACGTCTAATGTAATATGTCACAGTGATTAAGAGAAGCTTTTACAACAGGGATCAGGAAGTCTTTAGCATACCTTACAGTCCAGTTTGTAGTTTCTATAATGTTTTTGTGCTGCAGAATGTGACCAGGGTAAAGTTCAGAGGGGCCACTGATTGCCTTGGGTCATGCCTCACCTGGATTTTAAAGTCCCAAGAAAATCTCCAGGGTCTTGGAACAGGGGTGAGAGACAGAAACATCTACGCTTGTACCCCTGAGAACATTAGCTCAATTCTCTGAGCTGTCCCGGTGTGTTTATGGCCTGAACTGTGTAGCAGAAGGAAAATGAACTTGTACATCATCTATGAACATCATCATAGGCCCTAATCTGTTTCACTGCCAAGGGGAGTGTGTTGGTAATATGAGATGGGGATCTGTAATCCTCCCCCACGAGAGATTTGACTGGACTGTTCCATTATGCTTTTAAAATGAGCAGTCAAGCACTTTTATTTTTCACCCGGCTTTTAATTTGTTTTAATTGTAAATTAATTTTGCTGTTGGTTGGGTTGTTTAACTCTGTTTTGGGGTGGCTGGCATGGGATCCTTCAGATGTTGTTGGACTCCAGCTTCCATCAGCCCCAGCCAGCATTGCCAGTAGTCAGGGATGATGAGACCTGTAGTCCAACAACATCTGGAGGACTACATGCCAGCCATCCCTTGCTTTATTCTCACTCTTATTGCATCATGACTGTGTTTTATTGTTGTAAACATGTGCGTTAGGGTATTGATGAAGAGTAATCTGCATAGCTGTCACCCGTCCCTTATTTGGTGGGAAACTCCCTTATCCCAGCGCCGTGTCCTGCTGCTGTCCCTTATTGAT